ACTAGACTAATAGGTCTTGTATTAGATAAGTTTCTATCAAAAATAGGTTTTTTTAATATTGAAAAGATGTGACCTTCTTTTTATTACTTGGGTATATAGTTGGTTTGAATGCATCAGTTAAAAAGAGTGATTATTGTTTGAAGAAAGATAGGACTAGTCTGTTTAGTATTTTATAGCTAATTCCAAAAGGACCACATGCCTTATTGTTAGATAGCTAATTAAGAGTTGTAGAAATTTCATTTATTAAAAATTCAGCTAGAGCTGAATTATAATAGTCTGATCTAGTTGTGGTTTTGGGTTGATATTTCTCTGACCAGTTAGAGTTAAATTTATGAGTGTTAATAGATCTGTAAGCAGTTCAGTTATCAAAATGTTGTTTAATTTGATTTTTAATAAGTTTGGAATCTGTTATAATGTTATTTGGTGTTTTAATGTTGTTAATTTTTATAGAGTCTTTGTGACAATTGAGTATATTATTGATTATTGCTTTGAGATTAGTTTGAAGTTTAGAATATCAATTAGTGATATATTAATTTATTTGTTCTCAGATCTGCTTGATGTTTTCTATGTTTCAAGTATGATAAAAAGATTGTCATTCAGTATTAGTGTTAGTAATCTAGTTTGATATAAGTTCATAAAGATTAGGTATAGGATCTATGTTAAGTTGATGAGTTGAATTGAAATATAAGATTAATGAATTAAGATGTATAAGTATTGGTGTTATATTGGCTAAAAAAGATTTTATTTGTTTAATAATGCTGTTTAGTTTTTTGAGACTTTGATGAAGTAAAGTAGATTTAGCAGAAAATGAGTATTGAAAATTACAAATAATAGATTTTTTGTTAGAAATACATTTAGTAACTGCATTAATAATATTTGTTTGAATTTTGTGTCATGTAGTTTCTAATGATTCAGAAGTTTGGATTAAGATAGGAGTTTTGTTTGTATTGAGATTATAGGTAACTTGTTCAGCAAAGATTTTCTATTGTTCTTTGTTCATTACTTTATAATTGAAGATTTTTCATTGAGTTCAGGTTGAATGTCTGTTTTTGCTAATATAGGCATAAGAAAAAGTTAATTAGTTTATATTTAAAGTTTATTAAAGTTGTATATAATATGATAATTGATGATAATATATATATTTTGTACAAATATTTCTGTTTATATATAGTAATAGTTATTTAATACATAGTTGATACATTTTATATAAGCTACTATATTACTATTATAGACCAATTTATAGACTAGTTCAAAATTATGAACTATAAACTGATAGGACAAGTTCTTAAACTAGTCCTAAATTCAGTCTTTATTGGACCATAACATCCCTAATAAAGATATAGACAAGACCTTACTTTATTTTTTTTTTTTTCGATATTAAGGTAACCTCTTCGGTCCGAGCTTTTTATTAATACTTATAGCGGGTACATGTTTTATATAGACGGATCTATAATGAACTATTAGACGAGTGTACAACTGGCTACACGTGTAACTTTTCTATATTACCTATTTAAGGAGTTCACCTGAGGGTTCCCCACCAGTTGCCATACCTAACACCCCTGCTTAGATGTTCCATTTAAACTCTTTGATCTAACCCTAGTATTAATTTTACCAGGTCACAGACCCAGATCTATTCGCATTCGACCATAGGACTATAATCCTTAGACTATTTTTATCTTCGAGGTAAACCTACCAGAACGAGCTGTATTCTCTTTTACCACTAACCTGGTTTGACGCTATGACCAGGGCCAACACTTGCAGTTAGGGTACCCCTTAAACTACTATTACCCTTGTAAAGTTCACCCAAACTCTGGTACCCATCTTTTCGACTTCTTCTTCATCATCCTCTACTAGCCGTAACTCGGAACTATCCGACTTTCCAAACTCCCAATCCAGATAGCCCGGTATGGTATACTTATGTATCCTTTTTCTCTGGTGATTCTGGCAGTCTGGTTGGTCATATGCTCCTCTACACATCTTGTCATCTGGTTTATCTGACAGTTCCTATGAAGGTGTTTCATGGGTTTCCATCAGTCCAATAGTATCATCGAAAGTTTGTGCTACCTCTTTAATCAGGATTTCCAAGTGGGTTTCCGTCTCTTCGGTTTCTTAGCCTTCTACACCCGGGGGACTTATTATGGGTTTGCCCGAAACCAAAACCTTACTTTAATATTAAAAGAAAGTTTTAATAATTTTAATTTTTTTTTTTTTTAAATATTAAGGTAAGTACTTGTGATTTAAGATTTTATTGATAGTATATTTGGCTAATAATTATATTACAACCATAGAAAGCAATTATGGAGAGAGTGTACAACTAGTCACTTATATAACTTTAGTTATTGTCTAATTTAAGTAGTCTGCCTAAAGATTCTACACTAGCTGCTATATCTGAAACCATCTTGTAGATTCTCTATTTAACCATTCTGTTTCCATATTCACTTACCTATCTCTGTTTACTAATGACTCTGGCTGATACTGGTAAAAATATGTCATGATCACTAAATCTTTAAAGCAGTTTACTCACATGAGGAACCTTTGACCTTGTATTAAACTTTTCAAAATCTTCTGTATCTTATTCTTATAACTAACCTAATATCACTATAGTTAAGATCAACACTGGTAGTTAGGGCATACCATTAAACTGCTATGTCTTGGTAAAGTTCACCTCAATCCTGATACTGACTTTACAACATATTCTTATTACTTTGGTATTCAATTCAAGTTTTATCAAACTGTCATTTCAGATAGCCTAGAAAAGTAAAGCAAGACTATATCTCTGGTTTACATGTTTGCTAACATGTATTTTTTTTCTCTAAAATTCAAAAATTTCAATGACCTGGTTGATTTATCTGATCCTTCCTCAAAGACTGATACATTTGGCTAGTTTTATAAGTTCTAATTTCATTTCATAAGTTTAGTCTTTACAGTAGCATTGTCGAAGGTTCAGATTACTTCTTTATTTAGATTTTCCAAGTGGACTTTCATCTTTCTATCTGGTTCCTGTGATTTATATAATCTAAAGACTTATCTTGGGTTCATATCACCTGGTACCAGTTTGTGTTTTCTTATACAATGTTGTATGAATGCCTAAACCTTTTAGTTATGCTAGTATGATATGGATTACAGGTATTTTATCCCAACCAATTACAGAAGACAGTTAGCTGTAACACAGAAAGAATTGCAAATTTTCACTATTACTAGGATTTGAACTCTAAACCTGCCACTTGAAGGTTAACAACCTATTTATTTTATTAGGTCACCATATTCATAATTTCAACTATTTAAAAAACAGTAATAGTATATATACTATATATATAAATTTTATAAAAAAATACTATTTTTAAAAACTTTTATATATAATATATATTTAATTTTTATATAATTTTTTTTAGACTATATATATAAAATGATTTATATTTACTTTACTTTTAAAAAACCTTAATAATTATTTTAATAATATATATAAAGACTTGTTAATGCCACTCCTTACATACTCTAACCCTAATTAATAATTAGGGTCAGAAAGGTCAAAGGTTAAATATTTTATATAGGGGTGACATTAACAAAAGTAGAAGGTGATATTAACAAATCTTTATATAGGGGCCTCCACAGCAAAAGGTGGTGATAGGCCAAAAAAAATTTTTTTTGCAAACCTTTTTTTTGCAAAAATTAGATCATTTAGAACACAATATTAAAAAACTACAGAAAAAAATTTTTTGGCCCATCACCACCTTTTGCTGTGAAGCCCCCCATATATATATACTGGATATATAATAAAAAATAATTTTTTAATTAAAAGTTTCTACTTGTATCCAGGAAGTATAATACTCAGTATAAGAAAAATTACTAATATTTCAAAATTTTACTAAAAAACCATATTTAAATATTTTAAATAAAAATTCTTCAACATTTAATTTTACGTATAATTACACAAAATTTTAAATTTTACTCTAACTGTTAATATTAAAAAAAAAAAAAAATTACTCTAACCTTAATATATAGAGCATTACACGTATAAACATTATATTGGATTTCATACCCTACGTATTAAATTTCTTTTTAATTACTAATATATTATACGCATCTGGTATTCTAATTAGTTTTAGTTCAAAAAAACTACAGTATACTTATCACGCAATATACAATATACAAAAAATATTTAATTTAATCAAAATTTTTTAATTAAAAACAAGTTTAAATATTTAATTAAACACATTTTGATGAATGTAATAATTTTTAAACAAAAAAATATATACGTATATACAATAAAAAATAAAAAAATGTAAATAAAAAAAATATATAAAAAAATAAATTTAAAATAAGTATTTATAAAAAAAAAAAAAATCGCTCAAAAAAAAACCACCCAAATTTTAAGTATACTAATTTTTCCAAAGTTTCCATTAGCTGAAATGTTCGTACTAATTTACATATCACTTCACTTTCTTTTTAAAAATATGATAATATAATTAAGGTTAGCAATAGAATTGGTGAATTGCATAACACTAACCAAAATTTTGCAAAGAATTTTTTAAATGCACAAAAAGTAGTTCTTAGATGACATTTGGAAATTAATGTAAAAAAAAAGTGATTTTTAATTTTCATGTTACACCCGATATTTTTCTGATTGACAAGAATCGAAACTCGGGGGAAAATTAGTAAATGCCCAAATTTTAAGTGTTGTTGCATAACCAGGGCATAACAAAGTTCACTTAGTGAGGTCATATAACCATAAGCGTATAATCTTACTAATTAACTTAGCAATATAAACTGTTATAACCTGGTCATGTGCCAACATTGAATTTTAAAAAGTATTTTTTGAAAAGTTTTTGTATGGCAGCATCATAAAATAAAGGAAAAAACAAGTCAATGACAAGAATCCTTACTTAAATCTTAAATAAAGTTGATGTATAAATTTAATTCGACTGCTTTACTTAAATGCCTAATTTGTAAAAAAAAAAAAAAAAAACAAAATTGAAAACAAAATTATTAAATTTGAAATTTTAATTCCATAGTAGCCAACTCTTGCTCTTACGAGCAGGGCTAGTGACAGATGTAACACTGTGTTGTTCTTCGTTTTCATCGTTCGTCAAATCTTCAAGTTTGTTGTCATTTTTTGAAACATTTGAAGCAGAACTAGAACGTCTACCAAATAATCCACTTAGCAATCTTGAGAAGGTACTATTACTGCTAGATGGTTCTTGTGATGTGTTGTTGGTGTCATCATCAGATATAACACGTCTACGCCGAGATGGAGACTGTTCAATTTCATCATCAGTCTGTTTATAAATAAAAGGTTAATTGACGTCAAAGCAAAATTATGAATCGTTCATAATATTTAATTTTACCTCAAGGTTAGTTAAAGTTGAACCACTGCGTTTACGTTTTGTAACAGGTGTATCACGCATATTTAAATATGCTGAGTCATAACGTGAAATACTTGGGCGACTTCCAATTGAACTTGTGCTATCAATGCTACCTCGCCGGTTTAATCTATTCGAATGCCTTTCAAATTCTGCAGCTTCCAAAGCTATTATTCGTTTGCGAATATTATCTCTAAAAATTTATTTATTGAGAATTTAGATATTATTAAAATATAAACAATTTTCAAAGCTAAATCAACTTACTCTCCGAAAGACCTGTTATCTGTGTCTATCATAATAAATTTAGCAACAGCATCTTTGTATACATCTTCACTTCCTCTTCCAGTTTTGCCATTTTGTATATATTCGTTTTTAGTATCTTCATAAAGAGCTTTCAATTGATACCAGTGTTCATTCGTCCAAACAGCAGATTGGGAAGTTTGAACAGAAGATGAACCACTTCCTAATACTGGTTGGTCCACATTTGTGAATGATGCGGAACGAGATTTAGGAGTTCCCGGTTTCATAAATACTGGTGAATGTGTACTAATGCGTGGACTATCTATCAGAGAAACCGGAGTACTACCAGGCGTATCTACTATATCATAGGTTTGACCTGCTGTTAAAACACGAACAGCATTTGCAAGGACAGTTGGATCATCAGCAGAAACAGCAACTAGATCAGGGTCAAGAATCGGAGGTTTGTCGAATAGAGTATGTCCACTTGATGTACTACTAGCTCTACTTTGTCTTACACTTCGTTTTTGATTGCCACCTCTAGTAGTTTTTGGTTTTCTACCTCTCTTTGAGGGAGATGTACTTTTTATTGGGGTGACAACCAATGTTTCTTCAATTGGATCGACACTATCGGACTCAAAATCAGAGATTTTTTCAAATGCATTCAAATCCTTAGCATTTTCATCGTCACTATCAATAATTTCATCCCGAACCTTTTTAGGACGTCTACTCGTAATACCACTTTTAGACCTGGTTTTTTGAGCACGACTCGAAGAACGGCTTCTAGTGTTAATTCTTTTAATTTCACTATTATCATCAATAGGATTAGCAATTTGTACAATCGGATCATCAGCAGGAACAGAAACTAGATCAGGATCAGGAACAGAAGCTAGATCAAGATCAGGACCAAGGTCAAGAATCGGAGATTTTTCAAGTATAATATTTCCACTAGCTGTACTACTAGCCCTACTTCGTCTTACACTTCTTTTTTGATTGCCACCTCTAGCAATTTTTGGTTTTCTACCTCTCTTTGAGGGAGATGTACTTTTTGTTGGGGTAATAACCAATGTTTCTTCAATTGGATCAACTTTGTCCGATTCATTATCAGATATTTTTTCATGTGCATTCAGATCTTCAGCATCTTTGTCGTTACTATAAATAACTTCATCCCGAACTTTTTTAGGGCGTCTACTCGTAATACCACTTTTAGACCTTGTTTGTCTTTTAACCGGCACTGAATTTAATTGTTGAGCACGACTCGAAGAACGACTTCTAGTGTTAATCCTTTTAGCTTCATTGTTATCAGCTTCATTGTTATCAGCTTCACTGTTATCAGCTTCACTGTTATCAGCTTCATTGTTATCAGCTTCAATAGGATTAGAAATTTGTACAATTGATTCATCAGCAGGAACAGAAACTAAATCAGGCACATAAACAAGAGCTGAGTCAGGGTCAATAATTGGAGGTTTTTCAAGTAGAGTATTCCCACTAGCTGTGCTATTAGTTCTACTTCGTCTTACACTTCTTTTTTGAATGCCACCTCTAGCATTTTTTGGTTTTCTACCTCTTTTTGAGGGAGATGTATTTTTTATTGGGGTAGCAACCAATGTTTCTTCAATTTTATCAACATTGTCCGATTCAATATCAGATATTTTTTCATGTGCACTCAGGTCTTCAGTATTTTCATCGTTACTTTCAATAATTTCATCCTGAACTTTTTTAGGACGTTTACTCGTAGTACCACTTTTAGACCTGGTTTGTCTTTTAACCGACACTGGACTTAATTGTTGAGCACGACTCGAAGAACGATTTCTAGTGTTAATTCTTTTAACCTCACTATTATCAGCTTCAATAGGATTCGAAATTTGTACAATTGGATCATCAACAGGAACTGAAACTAAATCAGGATCTGGAACAGAAAATAGATCAGGATCAAGGTCAAGAATCGGAGGTTTTTCAAGTAGAGTATTCCCGCTAGCTGCGCTGCTGGTTCTACTTCGTCTTACACTTCTTTTTTGAATGCCACCTCTAGCAATTTTTTGTTTTCTACCCCTCTTTGATTGAGATGTACTTTTTATTGGGGTAACAACCAATGTTTCTTCAATTTGATCAACATTATCCGATTCAGTATCAGATATTTTTTCATGTGCACTCAGATCTTCAGCATTTTCAGCATTACTATCAATAATTTCATCCCGAACTTTCTTAGGACGTTTACTCGTAGTACCACTTTTAGATCTTGTTTGTCTTTTAACCGGCACTGAATTTAATTGTTGAGCACGACTCGAAGAACGACTTCTAGTGTTAATTCTTTTAGCTTCATTGTTATCAGCTTCAATAGGATTAGAAATTTGTACAATTGATTCATCAGCAGGAACAGAAACTAAATCAGGCACATAAACAAGAGCTGAATCAGGGTCAATAATCGGAGGTTTTTCAAGTAGAGTATTCCCACTAGCTGTGCTGTTAGTTCTACTTCGTCTTACACTTCTTTTTTGAATGCCACCTCTAGCAATTTTTGGTTTTCTACCTCTCTTTGATTGAGATGTACTTTTTATTGGGGTAACAACCAATGTTTCTTCAATTGGATCAACATTGTCCGATTCAGTATCAGATATTTTTTCATGTGCATTCTGATCTTCAGCATTTTCATCATTACTATCAATAATTTCATCCCGAACTTTCTTAGGACGTTTACTCGTAGTACCACTTTTAGACCTGGTTTGCCTTTTAACCGACACTGGACTTAATTGTTGAGCACGACTTGAAGAACGACCTCTAGTGTTAATTCTTTTAACCTCACTATCATCAGCTTCAACAGGATTCGAAATTTGTACAATTGGATCATCAGTAGGAACAGGAACAGAAATTGGAACAGAAATTAGTTCAGGATCAAGGTCAAGAATCGGAGGTTTTTCAAGCAGAGTATTCCCACTAGCTGTGCTGCTAGTTCTACTTCGTCTTACACTTCTTTTTTGAATGCCACCTCTAGCAATTTTTTGCTTTCTACCTCTCTTTGATTGAGATGTACTTTTTATTGGGGTAACAACAAATTTTTCTTCAATTTGATCAACGTTGTCCGATTCAGTATCAGATATTTTTTCATGTGCATTAAGATCTTCAGCATTTTCATCGTTACTATCATCCTGAACTTTTTTAGGACGTTTACTCGTAATACCACTTTTAGACCTGGTTTGCCTTTTAACCGGTACTGGGCTTAATTGTTGAGCACGACTCGAAGAACGACCCCTAGTGTTAATTATTTTAACCTCACCAGTATCAGCTTCAATAGGATTCGAAATTTGTACAATTGGATCATCAGTAGGAACAGGAACAGAAATTAGATCAGGATCAAGGTCAAGAATCGGAGGTTTTTCAAGCAGAGTATTTCCACTAGTTGTGCTGTTAGTTCTACTTCGTCTTACACTTCTTTTTTGAATGCCACCTCTAGCAATTTTTGGTTTTCTACCTCTCTTTGATTGAGATGTACTTTTTATTGGGGTAACAACCAATGTTTCTTCAATTTGATCAACATTGTCCGATTCAATATCAGATATTTTTTCATGTGCATTCTGATCTTCAGCATTTTCATCGTTACTATCAATAATTTCATCCCGAACTTTTTTAGGACGTCTACTCGTAATACCACCTTTAGACCTTGTTTGTCTTTTAACAAGCACTGGATTTAATTGTTGAGCACGACTCGAAGAACGACTTCTAGTGTTAATTCTTTTAACTTCATTGTTATCAGCTTCAACAGGATTCGAAATTTGTACAATTGGATCATCAACAGGAACTGAAACTAAATCAGGATCTGGAACAGAAAATAGATCAGGATCAAGGTCAAGAATCGGAGGTTTTTCAAGTAGAGTATTCCTACTAGTTGTGCTACTAGTTCTATTTCGTCTTACACTTCTTTTTTGAATGCCACCTCTAGAAATTTTTTGTTTTCTACCTCTTTTTGAGGGAGATGTACTTTTTATTGGGGTAACAACCAATGTTTCTTCAATTGAATCAACATTGTCCGATTCAATATCAGATATTTTTTCATGTGCATTCAGATCTTCAGCATTTTCATCGTCACTATCAATAATAGTTTCATCTCGAACTTTTTTAGGACGTCTACTCGTAATACCACTTTTAGACCTTGTTTGTCTTTTAACCAGCACTGGATTTAATTGTTGAGCACGACTCGAAGAACGCTTTCTAGTGGTAATTCTTTTAACTTCACTATTATCAGCTTCAACAGGTTTAGAAATTTGTTTAGAAGATTGTGCTTCAGGTTTAGATGTTGTATGCATCTTACGAGTTCTCGGAGATGCATTTAGGGAGATACGCGGTTTTGGAGGAGGCCGTTGACGTTTAGCAGGTGTACCCACACTGGGACTATCCTGTGATTCAGAATCAGATTCATCATCGTCATCACCCATTTTCCATTCACTATCTTCTTTTCTTTTACGACTATAAGTTGGCCTTGTGTTTTTTACAAGTTTTTTAGATCTTATGGACTTTTCTGATTTTGTTGGTTTTCGTCGAATATTTTTGCGTTTTGGAGTAATTTTCCCATTATTTGAAATCTTTTGAATAGATACTTTTGGAGAAGTTTTAAGTCTTTTAGCACGTCTGGCCGTAATAGGTGTACCAGGGAGTTTATAGTTTGAAATGACCTTCCTTGAACGAAGATCATGTTTCCGTGAAAAATTATTGGAATTATTTACATCATCAGTGATACTAGAAACATCTTCAGGGGTTTCTTCTAAGTCACTTTGTACAGGAGATAATTCGTAAGTATGTTCATCTGATTCGATCTGATGACCATGACCAGAATTTGAAATTGAAATATCATCTACATCAGCTTCGTTCTCTGTTGCTGAATGAGACGTATGAGATGTTGAACGAATGGGATGTTTACGTCGACGTTTCCTTGATCGTCTTCCACTTGAATAATACCGTGGGTAATTATAACTAGTCTTGTTTCTATAATAGTTTAATTAAAGAAGATTCATAGTTGATACTAGTTGATAATATTTGACAATACTTGACAATATTTAACAATAATAGATATTAGTTGAATACTAAACGATTTTAATACAAACCTTGGGCGCATACTACGTCTCGTTCCAGAAACGGTGGGAGTAGAGGTTGTGATATCATCATCACTTTGTGGATCCACTTTTGCAAACTCCATCGTTGAAAACATATTAGACATATTTTCAAAATAATTACTTTGCCTACGTAATGCATCACCAATCTGTGAAAAGTAAAATAAACAAAACACAAAATTATTATTTTTATAAATTAACAAATTCTAAGAAATTTCAGATAAAAGTACCTTATTCATGAAACTCCAAGGCATCTCTTCATGTGACTCTGGAAACTCATCATCGTCACACTCTGAATGTTCAACATCTGCATTTACGATAGGTTTTCCAGATAATAGTGATCCAACATCTTTGGGTATAGTACCATGTTCTTTTGAAAGTCCAGTATCTTCAATGTTAACAACGTTATTATCTGGTATATTTGACTTTATAACACCTTTTTGAGAACCACGGTTCAAACTGTCTGAAATAAAGGGAACATTCGCATTTTGTTCAACATCATATAAAACACCATCATATCCTACATGACTCGGCATTGACAAATTATTTATGCGATTATTTTGCAAAATATGAAAATAATCATTATCGTGCCTAGCAAATATAGATTCATCTTGATATTGAGATAATAAAGGCCAATCATCTTCAACAAGATCAGTATTTGGTACGTTTAATTGGTCAACGTGCGAGGTAGTATTCATGATTAATTTATCATCAACATTTAAAGGTCCAGTATCAAGTGAGGAAGTACCTTGATTACCACCAGGACTTTGCCGTGAATTTAATATTTCTTGTTGAGATAAATTTGTCTCGTTCTCTCCTTGAAAGTTATGAATATACGGATGTACTTGTTCCTTTTGAATGGAAGGATCGTGAGAGCCCTCTGGTGGAGTGTTTGGAAACGTATCACTTAAATCGTGAGGAAAGGAAGGGACCGAAGTAGCAGTTCCTAGTAAAGGTTCTTCAGAGAAAAACGCACCTGAGGGGAGGTCAGATAAAAGACTAGAATCTCTAGTAATTCGAGGGTGACTTTGTTGGGAATTGGATACATTTTTTGGAGGACTTGTTGGTTGAGAGGTGGAGACGGAATTATTTGTTGGTGGAGATTGAGCGTTATCAGGTGTTGGATAATTATTAGTTAGCCAGGCATTATTGCCAGACATGTAAGAGAGTGCAGGTGATGAGGAAGCTCGAGGCATATTTCTTGTATAATTAAGTATATTACACTTTAGCTTTTATGTTATAGCAAAGAGCCCAAAACAATACACATGTTCTATCTTGGTGTATTATGGAAAAATCGCAAATCGCAAAAGGGAGGTGGGTAAAAAAAAAAGCGTGGTGTTGTTTTGTGCGACTAGCTTGCAAGTTGACTTTATTCAATTTTTTTAGTTAGATTCTAAATAAGGAAGGTTGCACACCATATTTTATTATATCAATCAATAAACTATATATTAGTTGAGTACAATTGTATATAAATATATACATTGCGTAAAGTGCTGTTTGTATTCTTGTTACATGTATTATATAACTCATACAAACAATTATCTTGAACCTTGTTTTTCTTTTCAAAGTTGATGCTGAGATCGATGATTCGTTTTTGACTCCTGTGAAATAATCTATTGGTGAGCTTTAATCTTACTTCTACAGTGTGAATTGCTGATCTTTGGTGTTAAAACATATTAAAACAACATTAACTCTTACTTTTTATAAATACAATCGTCCGATCTGCGTCAAAAATGATACTTGTGCATTTGTTTTGGTAATATCTACAAATCTACAGATACTTTTATTTTTTTTTTATTAATTTTTGTTATGTAGATTCGGTTTAATCTTCGTAAAATATCTATATACCAAAGTATTAATTAAAAGATATTTTTAATTTTATAATGAATATTCTATAAATTGACATTTGGTCAGTTTTTTTTATAAAAATTAATTAATTAATGAATATCGTCATATATTTATTTGAAGGTTTCAATTTTTGTTAATCATTACGATTTCACACATCTCACGTGTTTGTGAAATTAAACTTCGTTTGATGATGAGATTCGGAATTTAAAAAATTTCACAGTGATTGTTCAGATTAAAAATTCAGGGTCCTAAGTTAGATAATGATTCGAAAATGATAATGTGACTAGATGCATGTACGATGTGGATCTCGTACTTTTTAATAAAGCCGATTTGCCAAGTTTAAGATTTTTTTACACGGATAATTTTACTTTTCACGCTATTTTACATATAAATTTTTCTTAGCAAAATCTTTCTTGTATCATTGGATAGTGCATTTCTATTTTGTGCTGTCATTACTTTTTATATACTTGTGATACCTTCTTTTTGGTTAATGCTGATTGTTCTCTGTAGTGTTATAATCAATGCGTACTTTGAAAAATAAAATAGTGATAGTTCATATATATTTTAATGTACCGTTACGTACGTACGCGCCAACAGAGACACTTATTTGGAAATGTTGAAGTCCGATCCGTCTTAAATAACCTCTGTTCAAACCTGGTATAGTTCTAACGGTTTACAGTTCAAAAATGTTTAATATCAAATATGGATATTTATATATATAATATATATACTATATTTATTTAATATAGATTAGATTTAGTATATATTTTAATGTTATTTTATTACTATATATAGTGTATATTATTTGTATAGTTTTATACATAGAATATTTTTAGTTACTAAAATAAATATGACATTGCTATTGCTACTTTATTTTTATTAATATTATTTTTATATAGTTCAATTTTAATTAATAATTAAAGTTAAAAATATTAAATTAAATTAAGCAAAAAAGTAAAATAGAAATAGCAATAGCAATTTTACATGTCTTTTATATACGTATTGAGTAGAAAATTATTGTAATTCGTATAATTTTTTACAAGTTTTTGATATACAATTTTTGTTGTAAATAACATTGGTCTAAACCTTTACTAAACTGACATATAAATTTAATAATTATTAATTATTAATATATATATATTATAAAGTTTATTTTATAATGCTATGACACTATAGTGTTAGAATATTGTAATCAATTAAAATTTAAGATTAGATGTAATATGTAGATCATTCTTTTGTGTAACAAGAATAATAAATTATTAAAAATTAATTATATCTTTAAATTTTAACTAAAAAATTATCTTTTGTATATTAATAAAAAAAATTCTTTGCAAAATTTTAGTATAAATTATATTTTACCTAACTCTAATCTTAATTTTAATCTAACTTTAATTAAAAGTTTTATTTTTATTTTTTTTATTTTTTTTAAGAGAGGTTTTTTTCTAGTTTTTTATTTTAGTAATATATAATTAAGTACAACTAATACAAATTAATACATTAAACTAAAATAGTAGAAATTAGGACAAATTTACTCTCAACCTATTTTTAGCTAAAATAGTTAAAAAACCTTTAGTCTATAAGTTTAATAAAAGAGAATGTTTAGTTTAATTGTATAAATTTATTGAGCCATATAGTATATTATCTATCTATTAATATTAATAATGTATGGTTTGAGTTAAGATTAATAATAGTTGGTAAAGATAAAATATATTTTTAAACATATGTTCTACTTAGTTCCTATATATATTTATATATCTTTTTTGTTATTCAGTGATAAAAATTTGGTAATAAGTTCTTTTTTAGTAATCTAAGTTTAAATAAATTGTTTATTATAATTCAATAAGAATTTGTTAATCTATATGAATATTTTTAATTTTTTGAACTAAATCTATTGATCTAGTTGGTTCAATTTTATTATTTTTATAGGTTTTTGTTATTGCTTCTTTTATTATTTCTTTTAATTCTATTTAGTTGTATAGACAAATAAGTATATAGACTGTATCTTTTAACATATTAGAATAGTTTGCACAATATGTGTTAGTATAAGTTTTTAAATTTCTTTTATAAAGATTAAGATGTATTGATAGTTTTAAGGTTAAAATTTTGATTTTAAATGTTTTTAAAATAAATTTTGTAGAATTAGTATTTTGATTAAAAATCTTGATTTTAAATATTTTTAAAGTAAATTTTATAAAATCAGTATTTTTTTTTTTTTTTTCCTTCACTTGAGCAGTCTTGCTGGTCACCTTTATTATGTATTTTTGTATTACATACATACA